ACGGGGTGTAAATTGATAGGGAACAGTGATCAAGACACGTTCCCCGCCCGCAAGCCGCCTCGATCACTCCCACCCGCCCTCCCAACACATAAGCAACACCCGAGCCTCGGCATGTTCAGCGGTTGTCTTTGGATGGGCACCTACTGGGAACCGGAAGTGACCCCATGTGCGCGACGCTGGGGCGAGGTGCGCCACGCGTGCCAGGCGCGCCATGCGCGCCAGGCACCCCTGGGGCCCGAGCGTGCCAGGCACGCTTGGTGCGCTAGATGCGCCACCTGCGCCATATGTGCCACATACTCCGGCCGCGCCTGGTGCGCCACGTTCAGAGCACGGGCAGAGTGTGTCAGGTGCATCTGCGCAGGTGACAGCACACATCGGGAAACATGTCGGCTCCCCCCATCCTCGTCGAAAACCACTACCCATCATTAAGTCTGGTGGGCCTGCGCACAGCAGGCCATACGCCACCACCCCCGCCGTCCCTGTCAAAAACCACTTGGCAGTGATCGCGGGGTCAGATTTAGCCGCGAGGTGCATTTTGTTTTGTTTGACAAGGATGGTTGCCCTGCGCACAGCAGGCAGTATGCTGACCCCCCCCGCCGTCCCTGTAAAAAGCAATACGAAGTGCTCGTGTGCCTCACGAACATGATTCAAGTGTTTGCCCCACAGTATACTTTGTATTGTCTTTTCGCGGGGATGGTGGGTGGGGCCCGCATCGGGTTGGCTGCGCATGCGCCGAATTAGGAGGCAGAGTGTGCTCTGCATTGTTTTTTTGATCAGGGGGGGGGATGATCATGGTGGTCGGCATTGTTCCTGGCTGGCTGCTGGTCGCCTGGGGAAGGGGGTGTATATTTATAGGGAACAGTGATACATCCCTCCCCCGAGCTCCGTTAGACAACTCAGCCCAGAGGGCTGGTGGGACTTTTGGAGGTGCCCGGGGGACCCAAAACGACATACACAAAGCCTCGGTCCTCGAACCTCCCGTCCGCGCGGATTTCTCGGATCGGCGCTGCATCCCCTGGCGGCGCCTCCAGCGCCGCTCGTGGCGCGCTCGGCGCGCCAGGGAGGGGGGTCCAGCGCCGAACCTCCCAAAGTTTATGTTTGTGCAGTTGTTATTTATGTCCGCTACCATCCAAAGGGAGGAGGGAAGTTCGAGGATCGAGGCTCGAGGCTTTGTGGACATCCTTCTGGGCCCCCTGGCGACTTGCAGTCGCCACGGCCGGCTCTGGCTCCGAATTTTAGCCAGAGCGCACCCCAGGAGAGATCCAAGGATGGTTTTTTTATAGTCGGAGGAGGAGGAGGAGGAGGAGGAGGAGGAGGAGGAGGAGGAGGAACATGAGGAGGACCAGTGCACTCATCAACGATGTTGCATTAAACCCTCCCTCCACGCTCACCTTTCAATCAGTCCCTACAAGGATTCCTGTTCACTGAGTGAACGGCCCTGGAATTCCTGAACCGTGCCAGAACACCATTTCTGGGACTCCAGCGCCGCGAATCAACGTTATTGGTGCGTCCTTATCCTGGATCGTGCCAGGACACCATTCCTGGGACTTCAACACCGTGAATCAGCGTAACTGCTGCGCCCTGACAGTCCTCCATCGTGACAACACATCATATCTGGCACGTCAACCATACGAATCCTCGAAGCTGGTGCAAACCCTTCAGACGAATGTGCGCGGCGCTCTGGCGAGAGCTACATTTGAAAACAACCTGGCCTCCATCCGTGGATCGCTTGTAAGTTTTTGAACGAATGCGCGCGGCGCTCAGGCAAGAGCTTCATTCTGAAATCGGCCCGCCTCCATCCGTCAAATTCTTGCAGTTTTTAATCACGAATGCGCGCGGCGCTGAGGCGAGAGCCATATTTTGAAAACGATCCGCCCTCCATCCGCGATGACCTTGCACAATTTGAAGACGAATGTGCGCTGCGCTTAGGCGGGAACCACATTTTGAAAACGACACGCCCTCCTTCCGTGAAGCTTTTGGTAGCTTTGAAGACGAATGCGCGGCGCTAAAGCGAGAGCTGAAGGATCATGTGGTGAGGAAGTCTCAAGCGAAACGCCCGGCCCACCCTTCCCGCCAGTAACGACGACGACGATGATGACGCCGCCGCCGCCGGCAAACGACGCGGACGACGACGACGACGACGACGACGTCGCCGCCGCCGGCAAACGACGCGGACGACGACGACGACGAAGTCGACGACGAAGCCGACGGCGGCGACGACGGCGACGACGACACACCACGACGACAACGACAACGACGAAGACGAAGACGACAACGACGGCGACGACAACAACGAGGACGCGCACGACGATGACGGCGACGACGAGGACGCCTACGGAGACGCCGACGACGACGATCGAGCCCTAGTGGGATGTGATTTAAAGCTGGATCGAGCCCAGGTAGGAAAGACTGGATCGTGCCCCGATAGGATTCTCTTAGAGCTGGACCCAGCCCTAATAGGATTAAAGAAGGAGCGTGCCCAAGTAAGATTGTATGAGAGCTGGATCGAATTCTAGATAGGCTTTGAGCTTTAATCGAATTCCGTCAGAGCTGGATCCAGCCCTGGCCGACCTGGCCGATGTATGATTCTATCAGAGCTGGATCGAGCCCTAGGAGGATCCTGTTCGAGCTGCATCTGGCCCGAGTGAGATTCAGGGTTGGATCGGTTTCGGATCAGATTTTCTCAAAGCTGGGCCGAGCCCTCGTAGGATTCTGCTAGAGTTGGATCGAGCCCTAGACGGGTTCGATTAGAGCTGGATCTTGCACTATAAGTATTCAAGTTGAGCTAGATCCAGCCTCACTGGGATTCTATCAGGGCTGGGTCGACCTTCGTGAGCTGGATTCAAGCATAGTTGGAATTTATAAGAGTGGATCGAACCCTAGTAGGATTCCAGTACAGCTTGACACAACTTCAAGGGGGTTATATGAAAGCTTGATTGATCTGGAGTATGGGGCCCATTAGAGCTGGACTCCGCCCTAGTAGGATCCGGTTAAAGTTTGATCGAGCGTTTGTAGGTTTCGATTTGCGCTTGATCGAACCCGAACAGGATTGCATTAGGGCTGGATCCAGCTCTAGTAGAAGGATCCTATCAAATCTGGGTTGAGATGTATTGGGATTCTATCAGAGCTGGACCTAGCATTCGTACGGTTCGATTGGGCTGGACCCAGCCCTCGTAGGATTCTGTTAGAGCTGGGCCGAGCGTTTGTAGGATTCGACGTGGGCTTGGTCGAAGCCGAACAGGATTACATTGAAGCTGGATCCAGCCCTAATAACAGGATCTCATTACAGATGGATCAAGCCCTAGTAGGATTTCATCAGGTCTGGATCTAGCATTTGCAGGGTTCGATTAGAGCTGGACCCGAACTTTTGAAACATTCGATTAGAGCCCGATCCAGCCCCAGTGAGGTCCCTTCGGAAGTGGAGCGAACCCCGTACGATTATATTGGAGCTGGATCGAGTCCAGAAAGAATTCTATCAGAGCCCGCGCCTGGCGGTGGCGACGGCGACAGGTGTGCCGCCGCTGCCGCCGCCGATGTTGTCGCCGTCGCCGGCGTCGTTGAACGCGTCGTCGTCGTCGGCGTTGTCGTCATCGTCAGCGTTTTCGTCGTCTTCGTCGTCGTCCGTCGTCCGTCGTCCGTCGTCCGTCGTCGTCGTCGTCGTCGTCGTCGTCGTCGTCGTCGTCGTCGTCGTCGTCGGCGTCGGCGTCGGCGTCGGCGTCGGCGTTGGCGTCCGCGTCGGCGTCCGCGTCGTCGTCGTTTTCGTCGTCATCGTCGCTGGTCCTCGTCCGTCGTCGTCGTTGTTACCTTGTTCGTCATCGCCGCCGCCGCCGTCGTCCTCCTCGTCGTCGTCGTCATCGTCGTGGTCGCCATCGAGGTTGGGGGGGGGGGTCCCAGGTTTCTGCCCTCCCGCACTCCTAGGGTTTTTTCAGAGGGGGGGGCCCTGGTTTCTGACCCCCCTTCTAGAGTTAGTTCTGCAGGCCCGCGACGCTGGAGCGCGCTCCTTCGGCGATGCCAGAGGGGGTCGCCAGCTCCTCCCGAGGGTCGAGGACCGAGGGGCTTCCTGGTTTTCGCGGGGCGGTTTTCAGGGAGGGGACCCTTCTCCTCGAAGAGTTGGGGACCCCCTCATCGAAGGCCTTGCCTGGGGGGGGCTGGCCTGGGGGGGGGGGAGCTGGACCTTTCAGTTGGGGAGGGGACCTTTCTCCTCGAAGGCCTTGCCTATAAAGGGGGGGCTGGGCCCACACGTCGCCCCGCGGGGCCTGGGCCCCCCCCTTCCTTTGCCCGGGCGCGTGCAGCTTCGCCATCGGGGGCCAACGGTCGGGCCGGGCGACAGGGGGGGGATTGGGAAAGGGGGGGTTACGAAATTTGCTGCATGCAGCTGGTTTCGGCCTCACCGAGGGGCCCATTCCTCGATACATGGGCGCCTCCCGGCGCCGGGAGGCGCCGGGAGAATCGGCTACGTGAGCTGATTCTCAAACCCCCCCTTTGCTATCCCCCCCTTTCGCCCGACCCGACAACGGTCGGGAGCGCTTGCTTTTCCCGTGCCGCGGCGCTGGTTCTGGCCCACCACCACGATTCGGCGCGACACGCCGACCGCGTCCCAGGCCCCGTGCGTCAACTCGCGCGTCGGCGCGACACGCTGTCCGCTCGCGGGGCACAGCGTGTCGCCAGGGCCGCCGCCTCGACGCGCCGAGCAAGCGTTCCCGACCGCATTTCCGATCTTCGAAGGAGACAAACACGGCATAAGCATAAATTGTTGGAGCCCCGCGCGGATCTCTTGGATCTGCGCTGGACCCCTCTCCCTGGCGCTAGGAGCGCGCCAGGAGCGGCGCCAGAGGCGCCGCCATGGGGCCCCAGCGCAGATCGAACAAATCCGCGCGGAGCTCCGAAAGTTCATGTTTATGCAGTTCTTTGTCGCCCTCTAGATCAATCGGCGATGTGCCGCCGATTCCAGGTCGATGTGTCCCCCCTCTCCTGAATCCGTCCGCTCCCCGTCGACCCACCCCCTCAGGATCGCCCGCGCGGCGGCGGTCGCTTCGTTGGCGGCGACGCTCGCGGCGGTCCTCGGGAAGGGGGGGGGGGGGGCAGAGATTTGAGAATCCTTCCTTCCCCCTCCTCCTCCTCCTCCTCCTCCTCCTCCTCCTCCTCCTCCTCCTCCTCCTCCTCCTCCTCCTCCTCCTCCTCCCTCCCTCCTCCTCCCCCCTCCTCCCTCCTCCTCCTCTCCCCTTCTCCTCTCCTCCTCCTCTTCCTCCTCCTCCTCCTCCTCCTCCTTCCTCCTCGTCTTCCTCCTCCTCCTCCTCCTCCCTCCTCCTCCTCCTCCTCTCTCCCTCCGCCTCATCCTCCTCCCTCTCCTCTCCTCCTCCTCCTCCTCCTCCTCCTCCTCCTCCTCCTCCTCCTCCTCCTCCTCCTCCTCCTCCTCCTCCTCCTCCTCCTCCTCCTCCTCCGCCTTCTCTTCACCTGTGTTCCTCCTCATCCGCACCTCTTGCGCTCCTCCCCCGTTGCTCTCCCAGGGCCCGCACGGCCACGGGAACCCCAGACATCTGGTGCCTCGAAACACCGAGGCGGCCGCTCTTCGGGCCCTGGGGCCGTCGAAACGCTGCCTCGTGGAGGGGTCGGCGTTGGGGAGGGGTCGAGCGGGGCCCACGCGTCGAAGAGAGCGAAGCGCTGGACGTCCTGGAGTAACTCGAGCGTTCCGGAGGCGACTGCGCGTGAGAGCGACCCTTCGCAGCAGTGACCCTGGGCGCGGGCTCACGGAGGGCCCCCCCCCCGTGCATCGGCCACCGCGCTCGGTTCTGGCCCCACCGCGGCCCCCGAGGGCCGCGCACCGGAGGCCACTCTTGCCGGGGGCCGCTCTCGCGTGCAGCCGACGGAGAGGGCCTCTCGCCTTCGGCGCACCTCGCCCTCGGCAGAGGCCGGCGGAGGGCGGGCGGAAGCCGGCGGGCACGAGGCGGCAGAGGCTTCGCTGGCGGAGCCTGTAGCTGACGTGGAGGTGAGGAGCCAACATCACTGGATGTCGGGCTCCCGGATCTTGCACGGTTGCCTGACGGAGGCAGGTCCCGGTGGGGAATTCGATGTCCAGTGGGCTCCTGCGACGGGTACGGGGTCGGTGACTGGAGAGTAGCAGCTAAAGGCGCGGATGCCTGGACTCGTGCAGTCGGACTGAGGTATAAGGACGAGGTTGGTTCGGGGAGGGTGCCCTAGCGGCTAGCGTTCTGCATGTTTGTTGGATGTTCGTGTGCCTCCTGGGCGAGGGGTACCCTCGAATGCCTTTCATTTTGGCTGGCGGAGGGTCTCATGTTCTTGAAGCATGTTCGTCTGCCCCAGGACCGGCCGTAGATTTTCTTCATCACATGAGCGCCCGTTAGTTTTCACCCACGTGTGCCCCAAGCGGCCGCCCCTTCGCGGGCATACTGGCTGACCTTGACCTTGACCTTGGGTTTCCGGATCGACGGCCCTCTGAGGATCGACGTGCTTTTCTCGTGCTCGGCGTCCAGAAGACGTACTCGGGCCCCGGGCCTATCAGCAGTCGATCTGGGATGCGAGGCTGGCCAGCGTAGACCCTGGGAAGATTTCAGGGACCGATTTTGAGGTGCAGGGCTTTCAGATGTGTGGGGGATTTTTCAGTGTTTATGATGATGATTCTCGTCGCCACTGCTTCGCGTGGCTTGGAAAATTGGTCAGGATGGACCTCAGGAAGGGTCCGTGGAATGATCCTGAGCGGATTTTTGCCGAGGAGAAACATGATCATTGCCGATACACTTCCCTTGTTGCCACCTTTCTGGGCCTTCTGGGGGGCCCTCGTCGCCACGGCGGCATGTGCCTCGGACTCCAGGGTTTCCTTCTGAGCCCATTCAGCATCTCAGCCTGTCTGGCCCCCGAATGAGCCGCCGAACAGGCTCAGTTCTAACCGGGTCGCGGGAACTGAGCCCGCTCCGCGGCCGAGCAGGCTCAGGCGCCGAATTGGGCTCGGAAGAGAATCCTGGGGGAAGCCCAAATCACCCGAGGGGCCGCGAAGATCACCGCGCGTCGCGCATCGCGGCTTGGGTTGGAGAGTGCTAGAGAGGCGCCCTTCTGCAGGGCGGCGGCGGCGCGAGGGCGCGAAGATAGCCGTGCCTGCGTCGCGCATGGCGCGAGCGCGCAACGTTGGGTGGCCCAGTTTCTCTCGGCTATGCGCAGACTGGGGGCAGGGGGAGGGGGCAAGGCTTCTTAGAAGCACCCTGTGCTTCCCAGAAGGCGTGCGCCATATCTGCAGATGTAAGGCCCACGTCCTCTTGAGAGCAGCCTCCTTCTAAGAAGCCTTCCCCTCCTCCCCCTGCCCTCCCTGTGCGCGCCGCCGACGTTTCTCGCCTGCCCACCCATGAGGTCCAGAGTCACTGTCGCCTCGCTCGCTGGCGCCTGCTCGCCTTCGCCTCGCGCGCTCTTGCCCGCGCCGCGGGGAACAGGGTCCCGACCCCGGACGAGGCAGAGCGGGAGGCCTTCCGGGAGGTCATGGAGAGGAGGGCGCCCGCGGTGAGGGCGGCGCAGCCGGTCGCCGTCATCCCGGCGGCTGCATCCAGGGGCAGACAGCCCGGCGGGGGCATCGCACGAGGCGCTCCAGAAGGGGGCCTCGCCCTCGGGGCACATCTCGCCCTCGGCGGAGGCCGGCGGCAGGCGGCCGAAGCGGCGGAGGTGAAACGGCGGCGGAGGCCTGGCGGAAGGCGGCGGCGGATGCAGGAGTCACGGAGCCAGCCACGAGCAGCCTGCGGCTCCGATCGCCCGGCTGCTGGACGACGCCCGGTGGCGCATGCGTAGACCCCTCCAGGGCTGCTCGCCCCCGTCGCGGCCGCCGGTGCATCCCTGCTCGTGTGGCCACGAGCGAGGCGCCCGCAGCCACCGTCGAAAACGTGCCAGGCGAGCGAGGTGGCCTGGCGGTCGGGCAGGTGGTGGTGGTGAGCGGCAGGCACGAGGGCGTCGTGCGGTACCTGGGCCCCGCCGACTTTGCGGACGGCCTCTGGGTGGGCGTTGAACTGCTGCACAGGGCCGGCGAGCATGACGGCGCCGTGTTCGGCAGGCGTTACTTCAACTGCCCCGACGGCCGGGGGATGCTTTGCCACCCCTGCCAGGTCGTGGAGGCGAAGCTGGCCAGCGAGCTCGAGGAGTCGCTGAGGCTCATCGAGGCCCGGGCGAAGGCCTGCGTGCCGTTCCAGACACGCTGATCTTCCCGCGCGGCCTGGAGGAACAGTGGTTCGCCCTTGCTTCCAAGGCGGCGGGAAAGGAACGGAAAGGAACAGAGGACGATACTGGCAGCGAGGGTGTCAGCGATTGCAGGATGCGTGGTGCCAGAACAGGCGGGCGAGGTATTGTTCGCAAAGCCTGTGGGCTGTGATCTGAGATGCGCATCGGCGACTTCATCTGGGCGCTGCTCGCGGTAGTCCGTGGGGTCCGGACCCTCTGATTCTCGAGAACATGCGTAACTTTGTGTAGTCTACAAATGTCTGATCTTCAAGCCGCATCGCATGACGTGTGCAGTTTTCCGCGCCACGCTTTTTCAAGGGCTGCCTTATTGCATTGGATACCGGCCTCGCTCTAGGCTGTGCGTTGTGGTTGCAGGGAGGTGATGCCAGAGGCTCGCAGATTAGCAGCGCATCTGGGTTTGACCTGACCTCTTACCGCTGACAAGCACAGAAGGGCCAGAGCATCCGACGCATTCTACGTGCAATTACAGACAGGGGAGAGAGCCGAAGTTGACACGATGCCTCCCGTAGAAGTCAGGGCAGAGCTCGTTGTGAAGCCCGTGCAGAACTCGCATCTCATTGACGGTAATCAGGCCCATGTTTAATGGCATTAACATGGTATGATCAAGTAGTGATGCGAGTTCTAAGCGTGTTACCAGTGTTTTCTGCCCTGAGTTCCACGTTAGCTCGACGAGTTCTACGCTTTTCCGTACGCTGCGAGTTGCTGATGTCCTTCCACAGCGGGTTGAGAGCGGGGAGTTTTGCCATGCCCACCGCAAGTCGACAAGCACGCGAGCAAAGCCGCCAACCGCGGACTCGCCCCTCGTCTGAAGTTGTGCCACGAACCGACCACGAGCCCTGTGCACACGCAGGAGTTTCTGGAGCCCTCCGCCAGCTGTGGCGTGCGTGCTTGAAAGACGGCATTAACTTTTTTTACATTCGCCTGACGCGCCTTTAGATGTCTGGTTTGTCCGCGCGGGCTTTGCTTCGACTCTTCGGCAGTCGCCCACACTGCTGCTTGTGCATGCCAGCCGTGATTGGCTTAATTCATGGTGTAGCGAACAGAGCGAACGCGAGCGATTGCACACATGCTTACAAAAGCCAGGGCTCCTCCTTGTCCTCGTCCTCGTCTTCCTTCTCTTGACCCCTCGCGCTTCCAGCACTTGCCCTCCTCATCCCCCCTCCCCTCTGTCTCCCCCCGGACAGCCGACACACAACAACAAGGAAACGGAGGACACTCACAGGGATGGCCGCAGGGGCAGAGCCGGGAGAGGAGGGATGGGAAAGGAGGACAGATAGGAAAGGGGAACCCTCTTCCTTCTCCTCCATTCCTTTCCTGGCAACCAGGCTCTGGGTTCTGGCCCCAGGTTGTTCCTCGGACGCGGCCCAGAACCTGAGAGGAGCTATGCCCACAGTTGCGCTTGGATCTGCCAATCGCTTTCCCCCAAACAGTGCTTGCACTTAGAGGCTCTTATTTGTTGTCTGAGTCACTGGGCTTGACGGTCTGTCTGGAGGCTATGTTGACGCCGTCGCGGCCCCGTCGCCGCCCGTCGCCGCCTCGTCGCCGCCTGTTGTCAGGGCCTGACGGCTGGTTTGGCGGCTATGTTGTCGCCGTCGCCGCCCCGTCGTCGCCTCGTCGCCGCCCGTCGTCTGGGCCTGGTTGCTGGTTTGGCGACTATGCTGTCGCCGTCGCCGCCCCGTCGCCGCTTCGTCGCCGCCCGTAGTGTGGGCCTGGTTGTCCGTCTGGCGGTTATGTTGTCGCCGTCGCCGCCCCGCCGCCGATTCGTCGCGGCCTCGCAGAACTGCGCCGCGTAGATGGCACCACGTGGATTGCACCAAGTGTATTCTTTCTTTCTAGGAGAGTATCAGGATCTCCCCCCCGGACTTCACTGACCCCTTTATTCGTACGCATTGCAATTTGCATACGATTCTGGCCCATCGTCCGCTTTGAATTTGAATTCATAGCATCCCAGCTAAACGGGTACCCCCCCCTTTCATCCCCTGCAGCAATTACTATGCGCGCGCACTCGTTTATCAAAAATCATCTGTGTTCAAGAGTCCCTACAAAAAACGAGACGAAGTGCGCACATGCGCGTCGTCGCGCGCGCATGCCTACATCATTCAAACCTGGGGTTTCGTAAGGATTTCGAGATCGAGTGTCCCGAGAACCTAAAAGCACACATGGCTTCGCAACATGAATGTTCAAGCAAAGCTTGCGTTAAGGCTCTTGCGGGTTCTTAAGAGAACCGCTAGCTTTGTATCACTTTCACTACTTGCTGCCAAGCGGGCCTCTTACGCGCGCATGTCGGAATCGTTCGAACGCCCTTGTGCGCGCGTTGTCGCAATAATTCCTTGCAACAAACAGGGCGAAGTGCATATGCGCGCGCCGTCGCGGGGCCGAAACATAAAGAATTCAATATCGAGTGCCCCGAAACATATACAAACACGTGGTTTGGCAACATCAGTTTCCAAACATGCCTGCGCTCGCGCTCGTGCGAATTCTGAAGAAAATCATATGTGCTTCAACATGTTCATTGAATTCGGCCAAATGGGCCCCTAGCGCCGCACATCGAAATCATTCGGACGCCCTTGCGCGCGTGCTGAGGGGGGTCAAAAGAGCGAAAGTGCGCCAGTGGATCCCCCTGAATACACTAGGGGGGGGGCGGGGTCAAGAACCCTCCCCCCCGTCCCCCCTTCAAGGGGGGGGGTCCGGAACCCCCTCCCCCCCTCCCCCCTTAAGAGGGGAGGGGGGGTTCCCGAACCCCCTCCCCCCCTCCCTTGAAGGGGGGGGGGGGGTCCGCCCCCCCCCCCCCCTCCCCTCCTTCGCTCTGGAAAGGGGGGGGGGTTCGGATCCCTCCCCCCTCGTGTAGGGAGTACGGAGTTGGGAGTAGGGAGTGGTTAGTAGTGAGTAGTGAGTTAGTGCGTAGTGAGTAGTGAGTATTGGGTAGTGAGTAGTAAGTACTGAGTGGCGAGTAGGGAGTAGGGAGTAGGCAGTGGGGAGTAGTGAGTAGTGAATAGTGAGTAGTGTGTACTGATAAGTGAGTAGTGATTGGCGAGTAGTGAGTAGTGAGTAGTGAGTAGCGCGTAGCGAGTAGTGAGTACTGAGTAGGGAGTAGGAAGTAATGAATAGTGGGTAGTGAATTGTGGGTAGTGAGTAGTGGGTGGCGAGTACTGGTTAGTGGTTAGTCAGTAGTGGGTAGTACGTAGTGCGTCGTGAGTAGTGAGTAGTGAGTAGTGAGTAATGAGTAGCGAGTAGTGAGTATTGAGTAGTGAGTAGCAAGTACTGTGTACTGAGTAGTACGTAGTGCGTAGTGAGTAGTGAGTAGTGATGAATAGAGAGTAGTGGGTAATGGCAGTGGGTAGTGAGTAGTGAGTAGCGAGTAGGGAGTAGCGGGTAGTGAGAAATGAGGAGCGAGTAGTGAGTAGTGAGTAGTGAGTAGTGAGTAGAGAGTAGTCAGTAGTGAGTAGTGGGTAGTGATTAGTGAGTAACGAGTAGGGAGTAGCGCGTAGTGAGTAGTGACTAGGGAGTCGGGAGTAGGGAGTAGTGCGCACTGAATAGTAAGAAGTGGGTAGCGAATGGTGGGTAGTGAGTAGCGATTGGTGAGTAGTGGGCAGTGGGTAGTGAGTAGTGACTGGTGACTAGTGATTAGTGAGTTGTGACTAGTGACTAGACACTATGTAGTGACTAGTGAGTAGGGAGTAGTAAGTAGTGAATAGTGAGTAGCGGGGAGTGAGTAGTGAGCATTGAACAGCGAGTATGGGAGTAGCGAGTAGTGAGTACTGAGTACTGTGTAGTCAGTATTGTGCAGGGAGTAGGGAGTAGCGAGTAGCGAGTAGTGGGTAGTGAGTAGTGATTTGTGGGCAATGAGTAGTTAGTAGTGAGTAGTGAGCAGTGGATAGTGGGTAGTGGGTAATGAGTAGTGATTAGTGAGCAGTGAGTAGGGAGTAGTGAGTAGTGCGTAGTGAGTAGTGAGTATTGAGTAGTTGGTAGTAAAGAGTGGGTAGTGAGCAGGGAGGAGGGAGTAGTGAGTAGGGAGTAGTGAGTAGCGAGTAGTGGGTGGTGGGTAGTGAGTAGTGGGTAGTGAGTAGTGAGTCGTGAGTAGTGAGTAGGGGGTAGTGAGAAGTGAGTAGCGAATAGCGAGTAGTCAGTAGTGGGTAGTGAGTAATGAGTAGTGAGTACTCTTTGGGGCTGGGGTTAGTGGTTGGCGTTAGGATGAAGGATTTGGGTTAGGGTGAGGACTAGGCGTACGGGTGGCGGGGGTCGGGTTCCCGAGTCGGGGGGCGGCGTGGCGAAAAGGGGGGAGGGGGGGGGTTCGGACCCGAAAAGGAATGAATTACAACCGACTAGTCCCAATTCCAACCGTTCGGAGCGAATTGCAACCAGAAATGAAACCAACTCCAACCAGAAATGAGACGAATTACAACCATGGATGGGATTTTCAAAAGTACTTCTTCAAAAGTACTTCGATTCCTTGGGATTCCTGCGGGTTCCTACGGATTCCTTTTTGGATTCCTGGGGATTCCTTCGGATTCCTGCGGATTCCTTCGGATTCCTTCGGGTTCCTTCGGATCCCTTCGGGTTCCTTCGGGTTCCTGCGGGTTCCTCAGGATTCCGGCTGGTTCCTTAGGATTCCTGCGGATTCCTTCGGGTTCCTGCGGATTCCTTCGGATTTCTTCGGATTTCTTGGGGTTCCTTCGGATTCCTGCGGATTCCTTCGGATTCCTACGGATTCCTTTGGATTCCTGCGGATTCCTGCGGATTCCTTCGGATCCTTCGGAATTCCTCAGGATTCCTCCGGATTTCTTTGGATTCCTTGGGATTACTTCGGGTTCCTTAGGATCCTTCGGAATTCCTCAGAATTCCTCTCGGCACGCTCCGCCCCCTCGTGGCTGGTTGGCAGTTGGTTGGTGGCCTGGTTGGCTGGCTGGCTGGTTCTTTGGCTGGTTGGCTGCTTGGTTGGCTCGCTGGCTGGTTGGCTGGTTGGTTGCCTGCCTTGCTGGTTGGATGGTTTGTTGGTTGGCCTACAGGCCTGCGCCATCTCACATGCGGAGGGGCCCGCCCGCTCGCGGATTGCATTTCTTGCGTACCATTACTACCACTACTACTACGACCACGACCACGACCACGACTACAACTACGACTACAACTACAGTTGCTACTACTACTACTACTACTACTACTACTACTACTACAACTACTACTACTACTACTACAACTACTACTACTACTACTACTACTACTATTACTACTACTACTACTACTACTACTACTACTACTACTACTACTACTACTACTACTACTACTACTACTACTACTACTACTATCACTACTACTGCTACTGCTACTCCTACTACTACCACCACCTACTACTACTACTACTACTACTACTACTACTACTACTACTACTACTACCACCACCACTACTACTACTACTACTACTACTACTACTACTACTACTACTACTACTACTACTACTACTACTACTACTACTACTGCTACTACTACTACTACTACTACTACTACTACTACTACTACTACTACTACTACTACTACTACACTACTACTACTACTACTACTACTACTACTACTACTACTACTACTACTACCACTACTACGACTTCTGCTTAAAGTTCTACTTCTACTTCTGTTATTGTTACGACTACTACTACGCTTACTATTATTACTGCGACTACGACTACGACTACGACTACGACTACTACTACTACTACTACTACTACTACTACTACTACTACTGCCACTACTACTACGACTACTACTACTACTACTACTACTACTAGTACTACTACCACTACTACCATTATAACGGCTGCGACTACTACAACTACGACTACGGTTACGACTACTTCTACAACGACTACTACTTCTGCTACTACTACCACAACTACTACTATTCCTACTACTATTACTACTACTACTACTACTACTACTACTACGACTACTACTACTACTGCTACTACTACTACTACTACTACTACTACTGCTACTTTGGATTTGACCCCGATACCTCTCTACTACTACTACTACTACTACTACTACTATTACTACTACTACTACTACTACTACTACTACGACTACTAC